GAACCTTGGTTAAGATCGATAACAAAAGGCACGCGCTTGCCAGAGGAGACCTTAATCTTCGGATCACTCTTGAGGGGGCTCTGGTAAAGGTATTGGTCGAAAAGTTGTGTTTCGGGCATCGTTGAGATTCTATATGGTATGTAATATACTTTATCAAAAAATAATTATTATGGAACTCGTCAAGCCTATCACATCTGATCATTGTCTAATTGAACTAGCCATGCGTATCGGGTTTCATCTCGATCATATATTTGAGTCAAACGAGATCACAAAGCCGCTTCCGAAGAAAGGTTCATATCTGGTTCTACTTAGACCACCTAATCTCGATGTAGGGCACTGGCAGGCTGTTCATGATGGTGGATTCTTTGATTCAATGGGGGAAGCGGCACCTACGAAGTATAGAATCGGGCGATACAATCCCATACAATATCAAGGTACGTATGGCGATTACTGTGGAGGCTTCTGTATGCTTTGGCTCTATTCCAAGCAGCACAAAAGACCTGATGTATTTAAGAACATGAAAGATCTGAATTTGTCAATTCTGTATTAACTATGTTTCCGGGAATATAGCAATAATGTATCGCAAATTAACGATTTCCAGCGATGTACTAGCTCCCAAGCTGACTAAAGCCCTAAAGACAAGTAAACTGAGTCTTACAGCTGATCAACGCAAGGGTTCAGGCTCTATTATCCATCTCCACCCTATGAGAAAGCGCTAAAAGCACGCAAGGCGGGTCGTGGTGTTAGACTTGATATCACATGTCATGAGATTAAGAAAGGTACAAGAAGCTCCAAGGGGGATCCATTCGGAATAAAATCAAATCAGGCTTATCGACAGCATTCAAATTCGTTAAAGATAGTGCTTTGCTCAGCAGGGGTCTGGATGCAGCAGTACCTGTTATTGCGACAGCGTTTGGAGCCCCTCAAGCAGGAATCCCCGCGAGGGCAGCTATTAAATCTCTTACGGGTGTAGGAATTTACGATAGCGATAGCGATGTAGAGAAGGATGGAGGTCGTGTATCTGTAGCGGACGTCAAAAAGGCGGCAAAGATTGCACTATCCTACGCTAAGCGAAAGGGTCTTCTAACCGATGTGGACGATGCAGGTGAAAAGTTTTTACTACCCAAAGCAACCAAGCCAGAGCCTGAAACGCTAATCAAGTCAGTGCGAGGTGAGGTAAAGAGACGCTATGGAGTGGGTGTTTCTATGAAGAAACAGCGAAAGGTTCGCCCGAAATGAAGGCTAGAATGGCTGCACTCCGCGCTAAACGCAAGAAGCCTATGCAAGCAGGATCATTTCGATTATGAGAGTTGGATAAAAAAAATAGTCATTTGACTTTCATATTTTTTTGGACGAAGCAGAAGCATGATCGAGACTGAAGTATCACGGAATTCAACCTTCTGGTCGTTTTGATTATAAATACTGATTGTGATTGATGTGCGCGATCCGTTTATGCAGTTCATCCAGGCATATTGACTCGGTTAATAGCTGATTAGTTGACCATTTTTAGCATCGCCGCGATCAAATGCACTAAGAATATCGCCAGAGACTACATACTCGTTCTTAATTAGATCACAACGGGCGATGTAAGAAGATGTAGGATGGATCTGAGGAATGATATTTGATAGCTGAGCACTTGAAACTGTTGCAGGCGCTGAAGGATACGTACCAGTAGTCAATCCTACTACTTTACCAAAAGCAGCATTATCAATGAATAAGCGGGGGACACGAGTCGTCGTAGGGAGATCAGTACCACCCGAGGAATAAAGACCACTTGCAGGGCATGTCCAAGTACCGCCAGCTGTAGGTAGTGTAGTTGGAGCTGCTGAGAAATCGATCTGTGTCGCGTAATAAACGTTGTTTTTTGTTAGTACATTCTCACCGGATGGGTTAATTAAATAAGCTCCGGCATTTACGAGGGCTGTCTGAATGCTTCGATTAATATCGGTTTAGCTGTAAAGTCCATCGGGCAAGCTAACCGATACAGTGGATGTGGTTCCAGCGATTGGAACTTCGATTTTAAATGAATTGTTATAAAACTGAGTTGCATCAGTGTTGTATTCAGAGTTATACATCGAAATCGATTCAACCGCGCATACTACGTCCTTAAAATCAGCAGCACTACCAGGAAAGCTGTATTTCCGTGTGCTGTTATAATTGTCTTGAATGAGGTTAGTGGAATCGGGCTTAAAAAACGAAGCGCACATGATTTATGTATATTGATTCAGTCAAAAAATATATGTCTTTTTATAACTCATTTGGATCGATGACTTGATCAAAATTGTACCTGAGCTGACTTTTAACACTATCCAAGAACAAAATCTGGCCTTTTCCACGGGAAATTGCTCTATTGTAGGCAGTCATCATTTTTTATCATCAATTCCATTGATATTAAAATCTTTAACAACCATCATTAAATCCCTACGGGAATTCGCTTTAAGGATCGCTACATATTCTGAATTCAAACGAACCATCTTATCAGTGGCAAAGTAGCTATGGCTAAGGAAAATGGTACTGATTTTAAAGGGGCGACCACGAGTATAGTAATGTGAGAAGAGATTCTTCTGAAGTAGCTTATCATTGCTGTGATCGTCTATGATCGCAAGCTCAGGTTTGTTAGAACTCATAGGTGTCCGGCGTATTTGGTCAATGCTTGGGGGTGAATCAGGGTCAGCAAATGTGATGAATCCATCAAGCTTATCGCGCAATAGTTTTTGATGTGGATCCGGGCAATGATCGTCAAATGAGCAAAGACGAGGGGTGAATGCTTGAGAATGAACAAGCATAGGTTATTTTTCCTCGAAAACGAAGGTCCCAACACAACCATTCTGAATAATGATTTGATTTCCAAATCAGGGATATTTTTTATCGATTGAGACTTGAACTTTTTCGGTGGCGATGCGCCGAAGTCAGGAATAGCACTCATGTCTAAGATCGTTTGATCTATTAAACAAAAAGAGTTCCGGTTTTTCATATCCACAACCAAGTTTCAATCTTCCATATATAACCCCGCGTTCTATCTCTCATTAGATTCAAATGGCTATCTAACACTTGAGTACGCAAATACTCTATATCTTAGTAGGGATGATTACAGGTTGAGCTACCTCAGTGGAGTAGTACCCGGAACGGCATCTTTAGGATCTGCTCTTGTTCTCGGAGCTTCGGGTAATATTTCAGGCATTACATCGCTTAGTGCTACGAACCTAACTGGTTCGCTACAAACCGGATCTCAACCCAATATAACGTCCCTCGGCACTCTAAGTGGCCTTACAATTAGTGGAAATCTATCATCTATTGGATCAGCGCTCAAGATCGATAACAGGCACTTTAAACTACATCGATTGTCAAGAATATCGCT